TTCCCCTAAAGCAGAAAAACAAAACAAAACAATAAGGGAGAATTTAAATTGAGTATTCAAATAAGGTGGCATTTTAATGGTGGAATTGTAGTTTGGCTTAGCTGTGTTTTCAAGCTGTATTCCAATGGCCACCTGCCAGTGGGAAATAAGATCCAATTCAATCCTACCCAATCCCTCTCCTGCCAAAAAAGTTTTAAACCTGGTTATTTTCAGCATAGTCATCTCCCTAATCTGGCATACCAAGCAAAGCTACAAAAATACTTGTACCAGTACAACACAGGGTTGGGCACTGAGGCAGACATGAATCTGCTTAGAACGACGACTGCAAAGGAAGACCAAGATGTTCTGCAGCACGATACAGACACCTCCAGGTACCAAATGGACATATGCAGAACGTTCTCCTTTTTTAAAAACATTACCCATAATTATACTAAAGTGCTTCCTGTGCATGTCATTGCTAAGACTTGACCCCGTACACCAGATGTATCCAATGTATTTCCTCAGAGGGACTTACAGTAACTCTAGTATCCTTTTCCAATTCATAGGATCATTTAGGTTAGAAAAGTCCTAAGATTAAGTTAATTCAATGGACTTTATGCCCAGTACTTTACAGTAATTGCTTTCAGCTTTATACCCCTCTTTTAATTCTAGTTCATATGTTAACTTTTCATCAAGTCCTATCATAGATATAATAGCTTGTAATGAACATTTACTGACAAACTTGTCCTAAAATTCCCGTATCTTTAAAAATTCATCAGCTTTATATAGAAACTAAACAAGTCAGGTTGTGCTCCACCCACCCCACAACTCTATCTTAAGAAAGGCTTAACTTCCCATTCCTCTTTTAGCTAGAGCTGATTATGGATCAAACTGAAAACTTTCAAAGCAAGGCTCGATAGCAGTGCTTCACTTCCTCTCTCTCTGATAAGAACTTGCTGTATGAACTCAGTTAAATAAAAAAAAAGCATGATTAATGAGAAAACCACAATGAAGGAAAAAATTACTTACTGTTTCTTACAAGGCAGTTTAAATCCTGTGGGGGAAAGAAACAAGAATATTATTCTCAGAATAGAAACTGGATTGACAGTAATTTGCTTCTGCTTGGTGGCAGGAAGAGAACAATTCAGTGAACAACAGCGCATACAAACTGGAAGAATCAGCCACCAGGAAACGTCGCACAAAGTTGCTAATCAGAAAACCAAAGGACACAGGGCATCGAACCTGTGCACTCCTGAACCGCGTATGCGACAGAAGTAGTTGCAATAATGGAAAGCAATTGAGGAGAGCTAAAAACGCAAGATGATAGTAAAACCCTTCCAAAATACAGGACTGTGAAAATAGAAACCAGTGTGACGTGAAAGACAGTTTGAAGTGTTTAAACACCATTGCTTTAAGTTACTGCTACCCAGCAGTGATCATGCTGGTAATGTCTGCAAGGTCTAAGTCCATCTGACTGGAAACACAAGCTCTGTGCTGCTAGGTTTGATACTGAAGTACTGGGTTTCACACTGCCTGCTGCAGAGCATCCCTGAACAGAAAGGCTACATCAGTTATGGCTGGTCTTTTTCCTGATGCCACATAAGAAGCCGGGAAAAGACATTTAGTAAATGCCAGGCTTGAAAGCAGGATACAGTGATTTTATTTTCTAGAAAATAAACTGGTGTGTCCCCCCCCATCCTAATGAAGGCAAAACATCACATCAATTAATAATATATTTAAGAGGCAATCCAAGGGTGGGGGGGTGGATGGGGATTAATCAGCATTAGACTCTTTAAGAATAAATATGCCCTGAACATAAAGCAGCAACCAGAAATTATGTGGGATCTGCCTGGTTTCCCCAGGTATGTTTTGTTTATAGGGGAAGACCCCAAGGTCACCAGGAAAAGCATGTAAGTTTGCTTGGTTAATGTGATGCGAAATCCTAGTGATAAGGACGACTGAATTTTCACTGACTTTGTAAATCAAGACAAGGGCTAGGTTTCTTCCCACTCATTTCCTATGCCTTGACATATAAAGATGGATATTACTGTCACACTGTTGCCACAATAAAATTCATTCCAGTGGAGGAGGTGAGACAGCATGGTTTTTAATCTCTCTGCAATTTAAGGTCAACTCCAAGTGTATTTGGGGCTTATTAATGCGGTGTAGCTGTGGCTATCCAAGGTTGTATTTACATTTTCAGGGATGGGTGCTTGAAAAAGCCAACTGTGCCTTTCCAGTAGTGAACATGCCCTCCAGCATGGCACGGAAAGCTAATGTTTCACAGACACTGAGCTGGCATTAGACAACATCACTGCCAGAGGCACAGGTTTAAACCTTCACTGACACCCCAGTGCAGCAGCCTGCTGTGTGCTGGTACACGCATGTTTGTGACCATGTGGGCACCTGGCTACTGCCTGAAACTGACTCAAAGGGATAGAAGGGAGGTCACCTCTGAACCAGAGCTTATGCCCATCTGCTCTGCTGCGCCTCTGCTCCTGCTTGCGTGGGAAAGGCTGAGAACAAACCCACCAGGCCTGAGGAGGAAAGTGGGCACTGCTCTTTCACAGCTGTGCTGGCTTTTGTCTGCTTGTAGCAGGGCAGAACTGCATCCTACCTTTAAAGAAGTCCTAGTGAAGGCAAAACACCACATCAATCAATAAGCTTTCCATTATTTTAAAGAAATACGGAGTATAAGCAATCAGTGAAGTTTGGTATCGTACAAGCTGTCCCAAGCAACTGATTTCAAATGTAAGCAGAGTTCTACTGACTACGAAAAAAATGCCTTGGACATTAATACTTGTATTTCAGCTAATGCATCCATGTTCCTACAACCCTTGAGCAAAAGCAGGCAGATTTGGCATTAAGCTCCTCATGCTTATATAAAAAACCTGTAAGTTTCTTACAGGCTCGTTACACAAGTCAAAGCAATACACAGGTATAAATCCGGTCTTCAGGCACCCTTCACAAGAAACACAGCCACACTCCAATAAGCAGTACTACAAACGTACTCAAGATATAGGTGTGTTAAAAAAAGATTCAGTGCAACACCCAATTTGTGTAATACTGACCAACTTCATTATCATTTAGGAAGTATTTAAGTCAAAGGAAGGAATCTGCCTTATTGGCCGCCCTGAACTTCTAAGTATACATGAATCTATATAATACTTTGCCTAAGAACTGAATTTTGGCGAATAATTGTATTCTGATCAGCCAGTTAGCAACGTCACATTTTTCAAAATGAAACAATCTTTGGTGCACTAAGTTAGGACTAAGGCAACATCCCATAACAAATATTCTGATTACATTTCACTGTTAAACAGGCTTTTTTATATATGAGGAGGGAAGGAGGATGAACAGCAACACACTTAACCTCTCCTTGCCCTTTTCCCACTTTGTTCCTTTGTCCCCTGACCTCAAGAGATTAGCAGCTTACCTGCAGAAACCATTTGCCTTCCTCCTTACTCTTGCAGTGGATCTTCTTGAAGTTTTCAACTCACTGTTGGATCCAAAGCCTTGCTGCTAGGCTGTGGCACTTACAACTTGTTGGTTGTTTGGGAAACACCCAAACAGGGTCTTGCTAGATGCGAGTTTTGGGATAAGCAGCCCCAAAAGCTGTGTAGCAGTGCCTTGCCTGGAGCTCTAGCATAACCAACAGCAAAATAAATCTATAAACTTAATGTCAGCACGAAAGGACATGTAAAAGGTACTTTTCACTATCTTTGTTATGCTCTAAAGCTCAAACCAGCCACAAATATATTCAACTTAATAAATTTGAATATAAATACCAATTTAGCTTGAACTGCAATTTTGCAAGTATACTGCACCTAATTATTGCAGCCAAATGTACAGGCAGGTCTTCCATTGGGTATTTGGATCCCATCAGACTTAAGAAAAATTGTCTACAAGTATAACTAATAGAAATGTTATTGAAGCTTCGAACCTCCCAGATCAGGTCATGTCCCATTGTAACTACAAGCATGTAAAAGTGGATTAAGCTACAACCTCCCTCCCCCCACCCAACTTATTCCTAACATGTCAAATGCTTCATCAGACTTTCTTAGGTAAATTATTTAGCCTGACATTGCCCTTTGCACAAACAGGTACAGTCGTTTCGGCTGTGAAGAAGTTAATTTTCTTCACAGCAATGGGCATGATCCTGTATTTTGGATCTGTGACCACAACAGTGTTGATACCACAGGGATGCTTTAATTATTACTGAACAGTGCTCACGCAGTACCAAGGCCTTTTATGTTTCTTACGCCGCTCCCCTCAAGCACATAGGTTGGGGCACACAAGAATTAGGAGGGGGCACAGCCAGAACAGGTGACCCCAACTGATCAAAGGGATACCCCAGACCATGTGATGCTGTTCCCTCAGGGGAAAGGAGGAGGAAGGGGGTGACATTCAGAGCTATGGGATTTGTCTTCCCAAGTGTTACATGTAAGGAAGCCCCTTCCTGGGGACAGCTCAACAACTGCCTGCTGATGGAAAGGAGTGAACGAATTCCTTGCTTTGCTTGCATGCACAGCTTTTGTTTTACCTATTAAATTGCCTTTATCTCAATCCACAAGTTTTCTTGCTTTTGCTGTTCCAATTCTCACCCCATCCCACTGAAGGGAGAGTGAGCAGCTGCATGGGGCTGAGCTGCTGTCTGTGTGAACCCACAACAGGCAACAAAAATAACTGGCTACTAACCATGGTTTTTTGTTTGCAATTTAATGATTTTTGTTAAAACCTATCACTTACTATTCAGTCATTTTGTCGTTCTGTTGCAGTTATCAGTAATTATTGTAAACTGCATAATGATAAAACCCTTATATAAATTATAAAGCGTTATTTGCCTGAAGAGCAGCAACATATGCTTTCATTTGAGTGCTGGTGTTTCTGTTTATTAGCAGATAAGACACGGTTAAATGAGGAAGTGCTGCATTTCCCCTTTTTTGTTTTATGATCAATATTAATATTGAACCAGCAAAGCGTATAAATGGATTCTCTCTTCCTCCAGATCTACTCTCCCAGGTAAAGTGGTCACAATGATGTTCCCAGCACCTGTGAGACTGTGCCCTTTCTGATGTTCATTAAAAAGCCAAAAGCTTAATCAGGAACCATCAATTAGCCAATGAGGATTCAGAACTGAAACTTGACAAGTAAGATCTCTTACCTTTCAACACTGGGTTTCTATGGGGACAAACAATAGTTTGTGTGTCACCGCTCCCCAACCCTACTCATGATTTCCAAGGGGCTACCTACAAATGTTTTCTTCCTATCCCACACTAGCATGTTTACTTGCTGTGCCAGTAACCTTTTGCTATGAGTAGCTGACTATGTTGGAGTGTTTTAAGCTGCTACCAGTTAGTTAAGAATTTAGCAGGCTTATCACAGAAGGGGAGGAAGGAACTTGGGAGTCTGCAGCAACTTAATTGTTGGTCCATTCCCTTCCCAGTCCCCAAAGCACTACAGGGATAACCTAACAGCCAAAAGTGCCCAGAACAACAATCATCCACCTGGGAAGGCCTCACTATCAGCATAAGGAAGCGAAGGTAACAGGAGAAGGTAAAGCAACAAGGCAGGCTTGGGATACAACCACCTCAAAGGATACCTAGAGAGCAGCCACCATGAAAACCCTCATTTCCTTTTTGGTTACTGCCCAGGTGAACTGACTGGGCTGCAGCTGAGGGCACACTTTTATACTAAGACAGTGTAACTCCAGAGAATGACACCCAAAAGCCAGGAAAAAAATTTAAAACCCCCCAAAACCCAACCAACCACAAACAAGTTGGTTTTGCAGTAAAATAAGCCAGCTACTTCCAGATTTGCACTGGCTACCTCCTCAGCATCAGGGGGAACACTTGCAGGTTTTCCCTTCTAAAGGTCCACCCAGCCCAAAACCTTATCTGAGGCACTGGCTCATTCAGACTGCATTAACAAAGCTGTGGTCAGCAGAAGTACTTAACCTACTTTCCCTAGTTGAGCAAGCACAAATTTAGATGATACAATAGAAATAAAACTAGAGCAATGATTGTTTCTGCTCACCCACATAGAGCTAGAAGTACGTAAG